CATACGTCTTCTGAGAAGCCTCCAGCTGAGTTCTCTCTTCCGTGCAGTACTTTCTATACTTGAACTTAAAGATAAGAGTCTGGCTATCTACATAGAATCTAACATCATATCTGCCTAGCTGCATATGATCAAACAGTATACTTTTAGTAGTTTCTAAGACGCAAAAATAATTTGGAAAAAAAATGGCTTGACCTTTTCATCCTTATATTTCCCGTTCTCTTTATTTATATTACCGAGTTAATCATGTTTATTCACGTTTCTGTCAGAATCATAACAACTGTCATAACCTACAAGTAGAAGGTGTGAACCGAATTCTGTTAAAAACAAACGTTTTAAATTGCATAAATAGCTGAAATGAAATGATTAATTATATTTAAAATAACAAAAGAACACATTGAAAATACAGTAGATTATTTATTTATCCTAACACATATAAACCTGAGGTTTCAATCTGTTTAAAGTTGTATACTGCTTCTCCTCCTCCTTCTGCTGTTGTCCTTTATCCCTCACTGGAGGATAGGTTTACAGCCAGCTTACCCAAGGTCACCTTATCTATTTCTTTGTGCATAAAGCTCACATTGTTACTACCAATATTTTTTTAACTACACTTAACTGTCTACTTTCCTTCTGGAATTGTGTTTGATCCACCATTTTTCCTTTGACCTGGTGGGATCTAGAGCAAAGATATTCTGGTTATATGTTATCAGGTTTTCTCATCACCTGTCCTACCCAAAACCAGTGTCTTTCCTTACCTCTCGATTTACTGGAATTTGTTTTTTTCTCTCGAAGCTCCACATTATTGATTTGGTCAAGCAGTTTATAACTAAAACTAAAATCCATATATAGAAGAGTAAGCAATGCCCATGTCATATTTGAAGAGGTATCTCCTGAAGACAAATGGACAAGGATAATCAGCTTTTATATAATAAATTCCCTATTTTTATGATGTAAAGTTAGTAAGATTATCTAAAATTCCTAGCACAATTTCTATTTTAACCACAACACCTTTCAGAAAGGTGTAAGCAAGGCAATATTTGAAACAGTAATACGAATTACATAATTGTCCTAAATAAATATGTACACAGTATATAAAAAAAACAAATATTTACTGAGAACGCCATGAACACTTTATATCCCAATTATAACTCTGAGAGTTGAACTGATATTTTTGTTAAAACTACTACTGCTACATTTGATCAAATCTATCCTTTAGTTCCTATTTTGAACAGGCATTAGTTAATGACTATTTTTGGTCTATTAGTAATGTGTAGTTGGTCCTAACGTCTGGTTGCCAGTTTGTACAGGCATCAGTTAATGACTATTTTTGGTCTATTAGTAATGTGTAGTTGGTCCTAACGTCTGGTTGCCAGTTTGTACAGGCATCAGTTAATGAATATTTTTGGTCTATTAGTAATGTTTTAGTTGGTCCTAACGTCTGGTTGTCAGTTTCTACAGGCATCAGTTAATGAATATTTTTGGTCTATTAGTAATGTCTTAGTTGGTCTTAACCTCTGGTTGCCAGTTTTTATGTGCTTAATAATGCTCACTGTGTTTATAATTATAGACCAAAAATATCATTTAGATACAAGTAAAAGTACAGAATAGTTGAATCATATAGCAGTAGTCAAACTATAGCTATTGGGTGAACAGTACAAAGTCTAGAATGGGAGTGAAGAGAGTATGATAATCAGTTAGTGAACTTGCACCTAAAATGTAAGAGTTGTGAAATTTATTGTTACCTAATGGTGTTGTAGGGAGTCACATTGGTGTAGCGGCTAGAGTATGTACTGGGTGCAGTCCTGGGAAGTAAAGGCGGCTGGTGTGATCCTGACCACATCACCCATCTTGTGCCGATTGGTCTATAAAAATATAGGTCTAGCCCTGTATGCCCTATACACCTAAAAAGAAAAAATGGTTTTGTAATGATATTCCGTTTGCGATCTGAAAATTGTCTTTGCTAAATAAAATTAGGGATCCCATTATATGTTTTCCAGACAGTTTAAACAGGTTTTCAGGGATTTGTATCTGTTAAATGACATTTGAAAAAGTTGCTTTCTGTGTCAATCTACTAGGTGTCAAACTTTCAGATCACAGGTCCAGAAAGGAAAATTAGGACAAAATCAGAAACCATTAATTGGTCCTGTAGTTATTAAGTTACTCCAACTTGCTAGCATTCAGCTTAGTTATAACTATGTGTTCAGTGTTATGTAAAGTAATTTGAATACATAACTATTTGTGTATGTTAATAATAATAATAATAATAAAATTTATAATAATAATAAAATTGATAATAATAAATGATTTGTTATTATTAATACCAAGCAGTTGCTTTTTGAAAAAGTTTTTGTTAAAAATAATACTTTGTCTTCTTATAGTCCATGCCATGTGGCTTTGTTGGTCTTGTCCATCCACCACCTTCTATCTCGTGTAATTTCTGAAATTCTGACATAGATGATCTTCCATGCCATGATGTCAAACTGTCCAGCATTTTTTCTCTTGGTCTCTCTCTGCCTCTCTTCCCCTCAAACTTTCTGACCTCTGCAGGATACTTCAATTTACTCCTTCTTATGTCATTACCAAAGAATGTAAATTGTCTTTTTTCTGATGTAGGCAGTAATACTTATTTTTACTGATCAGTTCTATTATATATTTTACAATTCACATTTCCAGTTTGCTGGATAATTTTGTATCATCTGTATTATTTACTGAATGTGTATTGTCCAATGTTCTGTCTATCTGTCTGTCTGTCTAACATCAGTAATGCTCTAAAATTTTTGTGTCCCTTTTTTATTAAAAGTAAAACTAAAGGGCTCATTTCACACCAGGGGGCACATTGAGCATTTGATACTAGACAGATATTTTATAGACCAGTTATCACTCAGTGGGTGATTAGTCAAATCCTATTGGCCACTTCTTTCCTCAGGACATTGCCTGTTATTAATCTTATCCTAGGCTGACCTGGGAGTCAAGATCTTTTTACCTATACAGGTATTTTTTTTTACCTGGTACGGACCCTTCATTATTACTGTTTGAAATTTTTGCAGACAGTTCCCTCAGACAGAAATGTTTTATAAATATGCTTTTCTTTTTTGGTCTTCCTTTCATGGTATCTAAAATGTCTGACCTTCCTTCAGTACTGATAACAATTAAGGATAGTCATTGCAGCAGCATTTGTCATTTATTAACTCTCTGAGTCCCAAGGAACGCATCATACGTTCATAGGTTACTGCATAGAAGACCAGTGAACGCATAATGCACCAATTTTATATTTTTTGTGACTGCCCCTTGGGCCTGTGATGCTAAACCCTATGGGACTCAAAGAGTTAAACAATAAGCAGCAATATGATGTTGAGGAAGTCCTATTTAGCAGTGCATTTGGTGAAAGAAATCTATACAGGATTAAATGAGAACTTACGGGAAGGTCACTTTGAAATCCTGTAGCCATTAAAGTAACTTGAAATAAATTATACTATATGAGTTGACGCTCATTTAAAGGAAAGAATAAATAGATGAATCCAGAATAGGAATCATTGCAACTCGGGGCAGGTTATAAACATTTAAGATACAGTTAATGATGGAAATCATTTCCCTGAAACAGCTAGGATAAACAAATTTCAGAAACAGGATAAAAATAATTCTAGAAAGAACTGCGATAGAAACTTTTCAGAAACAACTGGATATAAATATTTCCTGAAACATCTAGGATAATATCAATTCTGGAAACCACCAGAAGAGAAGCAATTCCACAAACAAACATGAAAAATAGAAACACATAGGATTGATTGATTAATTCATTCTAGAATAGAAATATTTCCTATCAGTACCATGTGTCTGGTTTTCTTTTCTCTTTTGCATGTTTGCTTCCTCACATTTGAATTATAAATAGAGAAAATCCACACAATCGTTCATTTCTTAAATGGGTCAAAGTTTTTATATTTAACAGTTCCTCTTAAACCCATACTTTGCTTTTTTTTTTTAAACTCGGCTTTGCATTCAGTTCAAATTTTCTGTGAAATCTTTTTAACCAGAAAGGATATGCTTCTGTGAATATTCAGGTTATTTTCTCTGTGGTGGCAAGCAATGGTTTATACCATGACTTTGATTTAGTTTCATTATCCTCTGTGGGTTCTGGGGCCTATTACTTTGGGGTCTGGGGGTGGGGGGGGGGGGGGGGGGGTTGATCAACTACTTCTTTCTCAACAAGCATGTTGCAAAAGATTAATTAGAAATTTCATACGAATGTATTTGGCTAAATATCACCGATATCACAGCTTAGCTATAAACCACTACACAGCCTGCCAACCATCGTTTTGAGGGTGAATATAGAAGAAGAAGAAGTTCTATTAACTCTTAGAATAAGGTCGTCCCCATGTGGGATGCAATTTTTTGTTATTTTGAAGTCCCGCCCTCGGCTTTTGCCAGGGGCCACAATATAGCCTGACGGTTGAACACGGTTTCTGGGACCTCTCCATGGGTGATCCTCATCCGCATGGTGGAACTTTGAGTCACACGATGTTTATCACTCTGTGTGATGTCCTGGTGGGGTAAAACTTACTTTCTCTATTAACTCTTCTATTCCAGGCACGTGTTACTTAAACTCATTCTAATCTACAGTTATTTTAAATTAACAACTGTTGTGAACAGAAACAGTTAAAATATAGGAATTCATTTAATTCTTCATGTATAGACCAATTGCTTCTTAACATGCATATCCTAAAAGATTACTAATGAGGAGTTTGATAAAAGTGTATTTGCTGAATGGCACAGATACCACATCCTAGCTATTAACTGCTACACAGCATGCCAACCACCCTTTTAAGAGACTGTAGAAGAAGAAGTTCTATTAACAGGCACTTGGTACTTAAACTCACTGTAATCTAGACAGTTACTTTAAATTAAAAAACTTGTAAAGAGGAAAAGTTAAAGTATGGAAATTTATTTAATTCTCCCTGCATTTTTCCTCAGAGAGTGGGAAGAATTCAAATTTGTACACAATTCAGATGCCTCCCAGTAGCTGTCCATTCACATCAGATCCGGGAGTTACTACACCTGTTGATGTGAATAGTCTTAAACCTGCAGCTAAGGAAGAGCAGTTGTGTCAAGACTTAGTTTCTCCCTGCTTGCAGAAACTAATAGCTTATCTTCGGCAACTAAGTATATGTTCAGATAATTGTATTGACATCATCAAAAATTGTGCCAAAGTGGATCAGGTTAAAGAGACATCTGCACAGCCAGCTCTGAGCCACTGTTGTACTCATTTATGTCCGATCAACGAATCCTTAAGGTGGGCTCTGCAACAGGAACCTAAGCAGGATCACAACTGTCTTCAGCAGACGTCACCTCTGTGCAGCCTTCAGCAAGACATTAGAAACCTGCAGCATGGGATGGCACTGCATGGCAGCGATAATCATCATGAGGAACCCCAAAATGATTCTGGCTATGGGTCAGGAATACCTCCTGCTCATCGCCATTATCATCGTCCTTGTTTCAACAGTCAAATTGATTTGGAAAAGTTGGAGAAAAACTATTCTGAATTATTACAATGTGGTTTTTACTTTGGCTCAATTGACAGCCAAACATCCAAGGACCTTCTTCAAAAAACACCAACTGGTACGTTCTTAATTAGGGATAGCTCACATTCAGGATATTTGTATACTTTGAGTGTGAAGACTGAAAGAGGAGCGACTAGTGTGAGAATCCTATACCACAAAGGTCTTTTTCAATTTGACAGTGATGAACGAATAAGGAACAAATTGCCTCAGTTTGACAGCGTGTTAGGTCTTGTGGATTTTCATGTCATGGTAACCAGCGAAGGTGGGAATAAATCCTGGCAGTGGGAAGAAATGTCAGGACACAGGAGCATGAAGGCAACGCTGACAAAACCTCTTAAAAGTTCAGTACCCTCCTTAGCTCATTTGTCCAGAGTGAAGATCAATCAGTGTCTAAACAATGCCTATTTATCACCAGTAGTTGACACGTTACCATTGGTTTCAAATAGAGAAAAGGAATTTATGAAAGAATACCCCTACAGAATATGATGTTATATTGTTAGTATATTTATCTTGAAAGTATTTTATCAGTTATTACAAGAGATAAAGAGTGGCTGGCAGAGTGGTTACAACACTGGACTGTCATGCGGGAGACCTGGGTTTGTTCTCTGATAAGGTAATAGTTAAATTTTTTTATCAGGGGCGAAAATTAACATCCTTTCCTGCATGGTCTATATTGACTGCACTTAGCCATGCAGTCCTAAATCCTCAGGCACACAACCTCATGTCCCATGCCATCCTAAAATGCAGTAAATACAGTCAGTAAAAAAAAAAGGTTAATGCCTTCTCCACAATGAAGGTTGGCTACAGCGTACCACTGTTCTCTTTGGGAATATTATTTGCTGAGGCCCCAATCTCTTCCAGCGTGGGACTCTCATACCATTGTCCGAAAACCATGAGAACAGATTTGGAGCGTCCACAGCGGAGAACTAACTACAGTACCCGAGGGTCATGAAACTGTTAACCACATTCGCTAGCCTCTAAGCCTTGGAGCCGCACAAAAACAGGCAGTAACAACAGACTTTTAATTTTTTTTTTTTTTTGGGGGGGGGGGGGGGGGGGGTTTCAGTACTTAGTATGTTATGATTTGTGAGGTACATACATTAACTTTACAGGTTAACTTTCCGTCATATGAACTTAGGGGTAGACAGATCTGAAAATTATTTAGCAACTAAACATTTTCAAGAGCCATTATGTTGTCTGCCCCTGTATTTTATACTTCTATATTTTTTGACTCTTTCAGGCAGTTGTTACTGTTCACATTTCCCCCTAGTGTATTGTAAAAGAAATACACGTTTGAGACAAAAAGAGTTAGAAACAAAAATCAGCACTAAAGTTAAACTAACAGTACAGATAGTTTGTTTATGGAATAAGTAAAGTAAAGGACCCTTTTCGACACCTTTAGGCATGATAGGGCATATAGAGCGAGACCTATATTTTATTGACCAGTCACACTCTGTGGGTGATGGGGGGAACATCACGACGTTTGCCATTACTCTCCAGGACTTTACCTGTGCACATCTACATCATGATTGCTCCTGTTAATGTAATAGCTGGGACGTAAGTAAGGAAATCAAATATATTATCTTTGGAGTTACAGTAAATATGGGCCATGTTTATTGGTAGGGAATGAGTCAACAATGTTTCTTCTTCTTTTAACAATGTTCGCCTTTAAAGTGTTAGCACATTTTTTTATGGTTCACGGCTAAGCTGCGATATCTGCAGCTTTTTACACAACACATCTGATTTCAACAAAATCCTAATTAGTCATCTTTGTGCTTTAATAATATCCTACCCCAGATGATATCACAGGACAGTCCAACATTTTAGAGGGTGGTAAGACTGCGTTTCCCAGCTTTCTGATGCTTTTAACGACCCAAAAATATCTATAACTGGCCTTAACCCCAACCCACCTACATCCCACGAGAGAGTGCAGCCTAGGTCCCATGACTGCATGCAGCCTATCTACCACTCCCTGAAATATTAGACTGTCCCTTGACCTGTGGATTTACCCTGTTTGGGGTAGGATATTATTAAAGCACCGTCATATTTTAACATGCTTGCTAAAGTAGCAGTGGGTTTATTTTTTTTAATCCCTGAAAAGAGGTTTTGGAAACCCATAGGGAAGTCAAGGTGCTGATTTTCAGAGTACACAGCAAATAGCTTGATCACTCACTTAGCATTAGAGGCCTCCTATAATAATAGTCCATTATCAGACCCGCCCACACTGAACTACTACAGGTTACTTCACAACCATTTTGTGGTGCCCCAGTACAACTATATGGTTATATGGCTTGAATGAGGTTTCTTGGATTCAAACCTGTTTGATTCTCATCCTTGAGATGTTAATCCTACAGACTGCAATGCTGGAATGGGAAACATCAAACACACAAACAAAACAACAATATGTATATGTGTGCATAAAGATTAACAAAAATCCAGTATCACCCCTTAATCTCAGGTTAAATGAGAAACAATTAAAAACTGAAAAGAAAATAGTCATTTACAAATATAGAAACAAATATATTTGTAAATGACTTCAATTAACAAGTACAAAAGCAGAGTTTCAAATATAGTGTTCCGTCTGCTGTCTGCTCTCCTGTGTCAAAAATGTGAATATGCTTCATGCTTAAAGAAATGCACTACCTCGCAATGAATGTATGCTTATGAACATGTGTCAGAAATGATTGAATCTTATTTATTGGTTACATGATTTGCTTATTTATTACAACATTTAATGTGGATGATTCTGTCTTACTTACAAAAAAAAAAAAAAAAAAAAAAAAATTTGTGCCAGATTTTATACACAAGATAATGTTTGTACATTTTAATGTGACAAATTCAGTCTTGCAAGAAGAAATTATACCAGAATTTACATACAAAGTGATGTTTGCATATTTGAGTAAATTCTGTGTGTTTCAGTAAACAGTATATCATTTTTGTGCATGCATTTTGGTTGAATGGGTACACATTTGTGATCCAGACAACCTACTGAAAATACACTGTCCAATTTTGAAGAATTTTCTGGGTATTGCTTGGGAAAAGGCGAGTTAATGAAAAAAGCATCATATTTTTTAAAATGGGAATACCTAATACTTCAAATTATAATGGCAGTATCTGCTGTAGAACTACATTAACTTTGGCACTTTATTTATCGAACACTTATAAATATAGAATGCACTATTAATAGAAAACACAAAAATTGTATGCAGTAAAAGAAAATACAAATGTCCTGGTGTAATTTTTTTCCATCAAAATGTTGTAGTTGATTTCAAAGTGTGGAGATTATAACAGTAACGAAAATCATAGGATCTCTACCTCCACAGGGATCACATACACAGCATATTGTTATATAGCAAATATATAGAAGCGCTTCAGTGTGTGCTCAGTCTACATATGAAATAATATCTAGTCGTACATAATGCATTGTATTGTACTCAAAGCATTAATCCCTCTGAGGCAGACATTTTGAAGTCTTTTTACAAAAGATTGTCGATAGAAAAGAAAGGACATGATTAGTTATAAAAATTTGCCTTGCTATAGATGTAAACTCAATATATTAGTTTTAAAAAATAGCTTGAAACATTAAAATACATGGCTTTCACAGAAGCTGTTTGAAAATTGAGAGTGGCCAATGAGAAAGTTGGGTTGAGTGAATGAATCAAGAATTGTCATCATTGACCTCGGGACATTACTACTTGTGGTTCCGTTCCCTTCTTCATTAACCAACGAAGAGTTGACATGCTAATATTATCAGTTGCAACCTGATTAAAAGATCGCCTCTGTTTCTCTTTCAGTATTGAATATCTTCCAGAACCTCCACCTCCACCTCCCCCCCCCCCCCCCACTCCTTCCACTTTAAATTAGTCTTTCAGTGTATGATAAATATATATACTTAATTATAGGCTCTTTTCTTTTATTTCACCCTGTCTCGGGGGCTTCGAGATTTCTTAGGAAATTCCAGGGAAAGTCCAATATTGGGGGGGGGGGGGGGGGGGGTGTGGTTAGTGTTTGTCGGTGTTGATTTCACAACCTAACACCTGTATACTATTGAACTTTCCCAGAAGTTCCATACTAAATCCCCAAACCCCCGAGATGGGGTGAAATAAAGTAAAGAACCTAATTACAAAGATACAATAATAATGATATGCAACTTTATCCTATTACATTCTTATTGCATAAAGTTATTTTAAAAAAAGGAAAGGACCTTTTTTACGTCAGTGGCGCATGAAACATCTGATTCTAGACTCACATTTGTATAGATAAGTAGACAACTCAGTTGGTGATGTGGTCAACAGTACGCCAGCTACCATTACTTCTTAGGACTGTCTTGATATCCATTAGGCCGGGTCAACCTGTGAGCCACGGTAATTGTAAAATTCACCTGGTACAGAAGCAAACCCAAGCGCTTTGGGCTGGCAAACAAGTCTCTAGCCACTATGGTACCGGGGCTTCCATGGCCACAAATAATATTAGAAAAATAATGACCATCTACTTACCAAAGGATGCTCCATAGAAAAAATGTACATTGTTGCCAGCAAATTTTGTTGATACGTTAATATTGAAGAAACTATGTTTTACAACTGATGATAATTGCTTTCTTTAATATTTTGCTATTGTTTGCTATTTTTTCAAGATGTGTTTACTTAGTGTGTTTTTTCCTGTTGGCATATTGTTTTATTTGCACCCTAGAATACATCCTGAACTATGATCACTGCTATGATAGGTGGTTGATGATGGCCAATTTTCCTGAGGTTTTGCAATCTAGATGATTTTTTAAAACCTTTCAGTCCTAGAAGATTTAGCATTAGGAAGTTAAACATTAAAGACAATAGGACTGATTTCATTGCACCAGGTTATCCCATATGGCTTGGTGTCTGTCTGCAGAGCAGAGATTTTCAAGGGTCACCCATAACAAATGCACTTGTGAACTGATGTACTTCCCTGTGAAACAAACCCACTACCTTCAGAGCATGAGGTAAATGCCTCGACAACCTCACCGAGGAGATCTGTGTAGCATTAAAAAGGAACATCATTGGAAAAGCAGGAGTAAATTACTTCTAAGGAGTCAACAAACATGGTCCTGTGGGTTAAAATATCTAGTCTGATTTTATTAGTATACTCTGGCCAAATGTAAAAGATACAAAAACACACTCTGTGTTACTTGACACACACTGGTAGTCTTTCATTGCACATGGTATTTGATTAGGACAGAGAGAATAAAAAATGTAAAAAATAGCTTTGGCAAAAGCAGTATTTCACTGGTTGAAAATTTCCTATGTAGACTTCTTCTTCACGTTTATCAGTTGTGAACTCCTATGGAAATTTATGGTTGTTCATCCACTTCTGGACTCTAGTCCTGTTCCAGAAACTGAGTGTTGCCTGCACATCTGTTTTTCAAGTCTGACTCATTTGCATGCAGACTGTTAGTTCCTTGCCTTTCGGGCAGATGTACTCTGACTTCAAAAGAAGCTCCCAGTTAGTCGACT